CACAACACAACATAAAATGATAAGTGTAAATTGTAGTATGGTTGTGTGGTACATTTTATTGATACCTACGGTATTTATGTATGAAATTATAAATGACGTAACAACAATACGTTCTTCTTTAGCTGTTTTTTGTAACAACAATACGTTTTCTTCGCTGTAATGTATATTGTAACAAAGGCCCGTTTTAGTTAACTTCTTTTTTCTCTGTTGTGGAGACAGACGCGACACGTTCAGAGTAATATTTTAGCATATGCATAGTACTTCCACGGATTGCAGCCCCAGAGGGCGTATAACACATTTCAAGCTCTAGGCGTTAACTGTTACTAGAGTATGCACATGGTTGCACCTTTGCAATTTCACCTATCATGTTATTCTCATGCAAGACTTGTCAACTTAAACAAAAATTAGTTAGTCCATAATAACATTTTGCTAAGAAATCTTTTAATTACAATTATTTTAATTAATATATAATTACATACAACATAATTCTTTAATTTAGTGTTAAAATTAAAATTGAATAACAGCCACAGCCAGCCACAGCCTATACATGTCCCACTGCTGGGCAAAGGCCTCCTCTATACAGAGGGTAACAGGGCATAGTCCACCACGCGGCCCCACTGCGAGTTGGCGGACTTCACATATTTTCGAAATACATTTTTTTTTGTTATTATTTCGAAAATATACAGGTTTTCTCACGATGTTTTCCTTCACCGCGGAGCACGAGATAAGTCAGCACTTAAAGTTAAAAACTTCATTGGTGCCGGCATCGGGGATCGAACTCAGGTTGCTCGAGTATATTGAATTAAAGGCGAGCGCCCGGACACTGACTATCACGGCTCTTAAAATTGAATATCTGACAATTATTTTTTGTGGAACATTGGATAACGGTTTTATAGTCTGGTTTTTAGTTAAAACTAGGATTGAATAAATAAAAGAAAAGCCGGTTTGAAATACGTTATTTTTTCAGAAAACTCTGAATTTAAATTAATTTTGTAAGACAGTTGCGCTGATGAGCTGTTGCGTTATTTTATTTTAAAAAATCTTACTCGTGGTAGTATTTTATATACTATACATACAGGGAGACTTTTTAAAGGTGCCCAAACACAGGAGGTTTAGACTCGGTATTATAATCGTTTATTGAAATACAAACAAACTATTCTATTCCCATTCTATTCCCTGAAAAACAGAATGTGTTGACAACGCAGTAGTCATTCATAAATACCGAAATTTTACTGTTAACGCACACAAACGAACTTGTATGCGTGTTAGTTATGAATGGTCGCGCGTAAAATAAATGAGTTGCGTATAAATCACGCACTTTTTGAGATAAGTTCAAATGAATGTAATTAATTACTTACGAGTGATGTAAAATATTTATCATTTTTATATAACACTATTTATGTCTAGAATTTAATTTAAAAATATGGATACACTTAGAAAGGCCTCCCTGTATATATCGCTGTTTCTGGCACCGTGGAAAAGTCGATGCGCGCTATTCTCTATTATAATTTCGATAGTAGCACCAACGTAGCGCAGATGAAGTTTAGGTGTTGTCGACCGAAGACTAAAAACGAATGATGATAAAGAAGATCGGCGTGAAATGGAAATTTTACATCGTTATATTTTTGTTTATAGTCCTTTGAGTGAGGTAACCGGGGCCCAATTCTTTAAAAATTGGCAACGCATCTGCTGGCAAAAGGAGATATAAATGTCGATCGGTCGGTGGTAAACACTTGATATTAGGCAAATCGCCGATTCGCTCGCCAACTTCTCGCACAAAAAAGGCAAGGCAGCCAAACTACAACTCAAGCACAAACTGAGGGAAATAGGAGCTGTTTTTGAGTTTTTACATATAGTCGTCCGGTGCCGGCATTATTACTGCTTCTTGACACATGTTTACTGCGATGCCGTAAAGAGTTGAATATGATGATGGAGACGGTGAAATCAACATTAAATTATTGATCAATTCCCGTACAGTTTATGACGAAGGCATAAATGTACTTTTCATTAAAACAGAAAAATGGATAATGCATGAACAACATTCAACTGATTCAACTAAAAAAAATATAACAACTTAATCATGCCTAAAGTCACCATTTGGATTTTTTCTCAATAAATGGGCGTTTCTCTGTAAACTGGACAACTTTTTTAAGAAAACTGTCTAGGCAACTTTTTTGCTCATAATATAATAAATTTTATTGAGGGAACAAGTATCCGTCTATTTATTAATATACGGCAGATGAGAATATTCCGAATACGAATATTCCGAATACTTTAGAAAATATCAAGCATTTTCTGAAAAACATGTTCAGGGGACGGTGAACTTAATTAAAAAATACAATTTTAGTACAGAAATTAAATGTTTTTTATATTATTATAAACTTTGGAGCTTAATAATTAAGTAACTGAAGATTAAAAAATTAAAGAATCAACTAATAATTAATTTACTTTATGTAATATCGTACTTAACATTGTAATCTTAATATTTACTTATTAATTAGTTAAAATCACAATTGAAAGGACTTTCAGTACTTTAAATTTACACTATAGAATAAGCCTCGAAAAATAAAATTTGTTATTTCTTAAATATAGCAAAAATAGGTAAAAGAAAATACTATTTTCTTTTACCTATTTTTGCTACATTTAATCTTATTTTTTGTCGAAAATAACTACAGGTGAATCAAACTTGTAGAACATTCTGGACCACTTGGTCCCTTGTAATATCTGCCACATCATCATCATCGTGTCTTAATAATTGAACTTTATTATAACAGAGTTTTAAGAATGTAATCCGGATTTCGCCATCTTCTTCATCAATCTTGTCAATTATGCTCACATATTTGTTCATTATTCAATATTTATTCAATATTTGTTTTGCCAAGCAATTTCACAACAATAAAATCTCTAGTTTTGAATGCTTGAACTATAGCAGAACTAGGTCCAGCCTCATTCTCAAATTCTGAATGTACAATGATACACCTGTTACATTAACTTTTGACTTGTCAACAATATAATCTCCAGTTTTGACTCCCTGTACTACAGCAGAACTAGGTCCAGCCTCATTCTCAGTTTCTGAATCAGTTTACACATATTTTATATTAAGTTTTGACAAAATAGAAAGAAAATTATAAAATATATAATACTTCTTCTAAGCAACTTCATCAGAATCTGGAGTATTTTATTTAATAAAAGAGTTAGTACTACGAGTATTTGCTAATACTTTTTTCTTATTGCGATACTTGGTGCACTGCTCTTTTCATTTTTTCTTGGCATATCGATATTTTTGAGGAGTCATATTCTCAACAAGCTTTCCTGTACCTTTTCTTTCTTATTAAGGTTTCTTCGTTCGTTCTTTTTCTCTAAGTTCTTCTCTTTTATGAGGGTAATTTTAAATTTTATCATATCTCATTCGCTCTGCTTCTAGAATATCTCTTTAGTGGGTTTTCTTGGCGACATTCTCAAAACAAATCTAAAACAATAACAATTATAATTTAGTTAGACAGTCCCCTGGATGCGGAAACAGTCCCCTGTCCGGTATAGAGACGGGGGACTGTTGCCAGGGAACTGTTTAATTTGAATTCATTGATGAGTAGTACAAAATGTAATTGATCTATGCTATTTTGCTGCACAAAGCAAATATTTATATATTGTAAGAATTTAAATGTTTGACGGAATCATCATAATACATAAATAGAAGTAAAATAATCCTTACCAGAGGACTGTTGGTTGTCAGGTTACAGCATGGCTTCCACGGAAGGACGATTGCATACCACTAAATAAGATGACGTCCGGGTCGTCCTGGCGGCAACCGCGCAAACTTCAGACTTTTTGCGTTTCGTTACACACATAAAAGACGTTGTTTAACCTATCGGCTACGTGACACGTAATTTAAAATATAGACAAGGGGACTGTTCACTAAATGCGAAGACAAAGTTTCACTGACTTTTTTTTAATTCTAAAATAATATTTATGTAAAATAAATAGATCTCATTAACAATCAAACAATATTGATCTAATAATACAACAATACGATTAATGCCAATAGATACTGCCTCTATTATTTTGGTCTTAAGTAACTATACTGCTTTGGTGACATGTCAGGGGACTGTTTTTAAGAACTATAAAATTGTTTTTAATATAATAAAGTTTATTTTAATGGATGTTTAATGTTGAGCAGCGGTAGATTAAGGTATTGATTTTTGGAATTATCTACGAAATATTTAATATCTTCTACTTTTTTATACAAAATTAGCCTTGGGACAATGAGTTGCCCAGTTTACAGAGAAACGCCCAAATACATATTACAATCATTAAGCTACTTTTATTTAAATTGTAATTGGTCACATTAATTATTTTGCATTAACGTTTGCCCTATAAAATTAAATCGTATTAATTTAAATATACCATGACCATAATTATTTTTCATAGTGTGTTTAGTTAGCTATAACTTTGAATTCTTTCAAATGAAACACATCATACGCAATTACAAGTCTTCAGATGATGTAAGATGATAACCGGTTCCAGGAAACTTAACGTAATGTGATAATAAAGAATAAAAAAATACTCGCAGCAAATAATTAGTATTTTATCCGCCAAACTTTATTTCACACTCAACTGTTAAATGCGGTGATGATGCATAAAATCTAAAATATTTCCAAGGTATCTTTTGTTTGAAAACAGCGACAGAAGTTGACCTCAGACTCGATTGCCTTGAATAATACAATTTGTACATAGGCCGTGCATGACACGTGAGTATTGTTATAAGGTTTCTTCTACACCCAGCGAATACAAAAACGGCGTAATGTCACCTGAAGAAAATTGACATGTCGGTTGTGCATGGGACGTTTCCGTTTTTTTTTCTTGCCACAGTCTTTGAGGCTTCTCGCTTTGGCTAGAGTGCCGCTTGTACTCGATTCGGCGGAATTTGAATTTTTATAAATCAATTAATTTATTTTATTACGTGTGTGTACTCCAGTCTGTGAACTTGCCAATGGGCTTTATGGTTCGATCACATCATCTATTCCTTGGCATCTCTCGCGGTCGTTTTTGCTGTTTTCCCTTGGATGCAGTTTTGGGTGGCTTTTCTTCCAGTAGTCGCTGAAAGTGCCAGCCAATTTCAACTGCTGGGAATGAGCAGTGTAAGCGTGGTTTATCAGGAGATCATTTCTTACGCTTCTTTCTTTAAGATAGCCGAAAACCTTCATTAAATCACATTAAAGTTATCATTATAATTTTGATTCATTATCTTTAAAAACCGTCAAATTTATCCAGTTCAAATTAAGGTCAAAAACTTTTAGTAACTGTATTGAACTGAGATTTTTGCTTTAGTATAATAATACCTAGTCGGTATTATAAAACGTATTATATTATAATAAGTTATAATAGTACTATATATGCATTAACATATAAATTTGACTTGTTTCTTGTGCTTTCTCATACTTAGTGATGGATGTTTGGCACATGTGTGTAATATCGTTTTGTCAGAAAATGCTGTAGGTTCAAACGGATATCCCTTTATAGTTTATACGGTTAAGCTGTTTTATTACCGGCTGTGCTAATGCGCTCCGGATGCCATACTAATTGTCGCGTTAAAGAAATTCCTGTGCTCGTACTTAGAGCGCGTTTATTTATAACAATGGCAATAATATTGCAACGTTTCTTTTTGTTTTTTGTCTTTTTTTTTTTAATAAGGTTTATGATTATTCAAGACACTCTTAATAACCTTTTTTTCAACTTAATACCTTTACGACTCTTTGTATCGTTCTTGAAGAAACAAATTTAAAAATGTAATGAAGTAGTTTTTAACGTGTTTCACCTTCGACAATTTTGATCTCATTGCGGCCTTGGTCAGTATTTTTATTTGTTATTGGTCAATTTAGATAAATTAAACGCTCGATGGGACATACGAAAACATTACCTTTATTTAAATATGAATATTTACTAAAAACGCTTAATCGTGCACTTTTATCGTCTTATATGGTTATCGTGATTTTGTGGAATTGTTATTGGTTTCATTTCATATTTTGAATTACTAAGAGACCCCTATATGAGTTATCAAGGTTCAATTATTCAGACTTATTCCAATGAAACATGAGGTAACGATCCTGAATGTATGAACGTCCTACATTCATACCAATTTAATTTGGTATTCTGAATAATTGAACCTGCATTAAAAGTGAATATCGTCCATTCATTTTGCATCCGTTGGCGATTCAATTTCACTTCGAAAAAATATGCAATCTGGCCAAAGCAATTTGCATAGTTGCTGACGTTTTATATACACTTTTACTTAAAGGTAAATATAATATTTTTTTAATTTCGACATTTGACTCTTTAGGTCCAACAGACAAATGTTTAACGTCCTAATTTCGTAGTTAATCCAGGTCCAATAATTGTCCGATCTACGCTTTACGAGCTTACATATTGAAGTCTTATAGCATTAGTGTGTTTGGATAAATTTTATTATTAATAGTACCTATTTAACCGTGGTAGAGGGCGACGCAGCAGTTTATGCTATTGCACGAATGGGCAGATCCGTCCGCGAAAGTATTACAACTTCACAGAAGACTGGCGTGAACTGGAAGTGTTATACTTCTGCGTTTCGTCTAGTCATTGAGATAACCGGAGTCCTTTATTGAAAGGTGGCAATACATCAGCAACCCTAGGGGTGTTGCAAATGTTCAAGGACAGCGGATATGACTTAACATAAGGTGAATAGCCAGCTCGTTTTCCACCTTTTGACATAAAAAATCCAACTTGGGCGTAATATAACTCATAAAATGAAAACCCACCGACTTAGAGGCCCCAAGCTGGTCAGTCCGTGATAGTTAGACAGTTGAAATTTTCGCAGGTGATGTATTTCTGTTGCTGTTATAACAAGAAATACTAAAAAACGGAATAAAAAAGACTGGGGCTCCCATGCAACAGACATGATTTGTTTTCCGTTTTTATAGATAATGGTACGGAACCCCTCGTGTGGGAGTCCGACTCGCACTTGGCCGGTTTTTATTTTCAATAAGGTTTTCGATCACTTATAGAGTGTAAAGTCACAAAATACTGTCGGATTCCGGCGGAACTTTACATGCCATCTTGAGCAAATATTTTTGGCCGATATCTAGGAAACTATGTATTATGACCATTATTTTAGAGAATGTTGTATCTATTCTTTGCTATAAACTTATTTGTAAAACCGCTAAGCTTCTAGCTCATTTAATGAAATTGTTTTCCTATCTCGGGCGAGAACTCTTAAAATATTGGATGAATCAATAAAATGCGTCATCCATGTTTAAATACCAAAGTATTACGAGGCGAAATTTTTCTATAATAAGGGTGTATCTGACTTTTGTCCTTAAGTGTCTTAGATCGGTAGTTTAGTGCCAAGTTGACAAAAAAACGCTTTTTTTGGCCTATAACCACTGGAGTATCTGCATATCCTCATGACGATATACTTCTGTAACAGTTACAGAAGATTAGACACAGATTTAATCTTCATATCTAAGTTTGGAGATGAGTTAAAATATCTGATGTCTGTTCTAATTAAATAGCTACGGTGAGTTTCTGCGCTATACGTTTAACCTAATAGGACTCCGTTTATCTAAAATGAATCTCTCCGTAAATCCGAAAAGATTTCGAAAAGAGTAGATACAAATAACGACGCCTTCCGTGTGCGACATAACCGAACCAAAGAAAAGATAATTGAATTTCGTTCCTTTTTTTGTTGGCTTTAATAACAATTTATGGGACTATTAACTTATAATGCAGAGTAATGTTTCATTTTGGTTCATTTGTAAAGTGGGGTTGTCTAATAAAGCATATTGAATATTTTTTGTACAAAAAAGTAAAGTATCAGACTATATGTATCCCACTACTGGGCAAATACCTGTACAGAGGGTAGTAGGGAATAGTCCAACACGCAACCCCTTTGCGGATTGGTCGATTTCACATATCTTCAAAATATATTTTTTGTTATTATTTCGAAAATATCACTTAACATCAGGTCGGATGGCAGTCAAGAGCTGGCCAGCTTTGATTTAAAAAAAGAAATCAGGTCATGCCACGATGTTTACCTTCACCGCTGAGCAAGTTATAAGTCAGCATTTAAAATTTAAATTGACAATTTCATTGGTGCTGGCCTGGGATTTCTACTTTGGTTGCTCGAGTATATTGAATTCCATACCGTGGGCCCGGACAAAGAGTTATATTTCTTTATAAATTTAACTAGCGACCCGCCCCGGCTTCGCACGGGTGAAATGTATTATGTTACATATAAAACTTCCTCTTGAATCATTATCTAGTAAAAAAACCGCATCAAGATCCGTTGCGTAGTTTTTTGCATACATAGGGACAGACAGCGCGACCACTTTGTTTTATACTATGTAGTGATAAATAATTGGATAAAATAAAGAGTATATACCTACATACTACTTTTCCTCTCATTGTTTACATGGTTCTAAAATAGGAACTGCATGGTAAAGCCATTATTGCGTGGTTGAGTCACGCAATGCCTTTTACTACTCGAATGGGCCGGCTCAACCGGGAAAGTGCCACGTTCTCACAGACGATCAGCGTAAAGTAGAGGTTTATACTATTTCTAACGTTTTCTCTGGTTTTCGCCACTTTAAATTTGCCATCCGCCCGTTGCCCAAGTAACACAAAATAGTATTACAGAATCGTGGGATAAATTTTTTTTTATAGAGAACCGATACGTGTTTACTTAATACTTAACCATTTAATGTTTATTTGTTTTTCAGTTGAAGGATGACGCAAGAGGAGCTAATGTTTGAAAAGTCTTGTTTTGTACCCAATAGGTATAAATAAAATTGTGTTGGACATCTCCCTTTGCCCCGTATGGCGTTTATCGAACTTGTGAGCAGTCTTAGTTAAGAACATGATAGTATAACTACAAAATAAACTTATCAACACGTGTATTTGTTTCGAACCGTGCCGATCGGGATTTCTTTATTTATTATTTTGGATTCCACCAAAGTTCTTAGGTGCCCGCACTTCCTGTTAAACGTCGGCGTGAAATAACTCCAAGTGATCAACGCGAGCGATAACAGACGAATTAACTAAACACGTCTTTTATAATCCAATAAGTGTAAATATATGCGAGTTTATGTTAAATTTCATTTGAGAGGAACAGTAAACAATAGGCTGTTTTATTTTTCAGTACTTTTTATAGTTTTTGAAAACAATTTCATGTACCTTATTGCATAACAATTTTAAATCATTGGACCGAGAGATTAATTCTTAGTCTATTTTACCTATAAGTATGAAATAATTTTCCTCGTGCTGTTTCAGGATGATTACGTCAGACACTCACTGACCGTAATTCGTATTTATGGCTTCACAGATTTCGGGTCTTAAGTTTCTTTATTTATTTAACTTTTGATTTAAGCAAATCCATCTTACAATTTGGTAGATAACTAGTGCTTCCATTTTGAATATCTTTATACTTTAATTCGTCAAATATTCAATCATTCTAATGCGGTAGTTGTTCCTGCTTGTTGCTAAGCAGGAGAAGTGGCAGTCCATAAGGTAAGGGAGTTACTTAACAGGTGAACCGCTCAATACCGGGCTCGTGAGAGCTCCATTGTACCTGCACTATGTGGCCGGACCGAGTGCCTTAGCTCTTGTTGTGTCTTCGTGTTCCCGTGTCCTCAGCCGACACTCAGTGTGACAGAGACTGGTGTAACGTGGGTTTTTTGAAGATACCCGTTATGAGCGAGACTTCCACATACCCCTGTGGCAGGGGAATCTATAGAGGACTTTTAATGTAAAAAAAATGAGGAACGCAGCTGCAATCTTCACTCTCTCTAAACTGGTCTTTCTAGAGCACACCAAATCCAGCTACCCATATAATTTTAAGTTTACGTTCTGATTTACTACGAGCTGTGCTTATGTAAAACAAAACATATATTTCGATTACCGTATTTATGTGCACTGGTGCGATTTTTGCGCGTAGAGAAACCTTACACGTAAAGTCTAGTGTCACCCTGTGGTTTTTAGTTGCAGAGAGAGTTCAGTTCGAGATTTGTGAGAGCCATTGTGAGCGAAATCGCTAACTGCAATATGATTTGCATTGAATTTGACTTCCCTTTTACTAAGCCATAGTTGGCTTTAAAAATGGTTGCATAGTTTTACATTTATTATCTATTGTCGCATAGACACTGCAATGGGCATAAAAGTACGAGACGCCCGAAGA